CAGCCCACCCAGCCACTGAGTCCCCAGCACGTCCCAGCCCCAGGACTGCATCCACACCCACCCTTCCTGAACCCCTCCCCACTCACCGGACATCCTCCAGCTCGTAGAAGACATTGCGGGACTCGTCCTTGATGAGGATGGCCGTGTTGGGAGATTTCAGCATCCCCATGGTGAGCTTCTGGGGGAACATGTGGACAATGAGGGCGTGCAGGGTGTCCATGCTGCTGATCTCGTGGGTGATGTGGACACGTCTTGTCTCATCCCCAAACTGCAGGAAAAGGACCCCTGGAAGCAGAGGGAGCGGAAGGTGGTGAGGTGTGTTCGCATCCCTTCTCCATGCAACGCTGAAGATGTGCTGAGGCCAGTGATCCATGTTTGCCCCCTGGCTTGGAGGTCTCTCTGTGCACCCAACCAAGGGCTCAGGGACCTCTGGCCACCCAAGCTCACCCTGGAGCAGCGAGGCCAAAGGCAGCTCAATCCCCCATGCAGTGTCCCCAGCTCCTCTTGGGGTTATTTGGGCAGATACCAACCAATCCCATCCCCAGCACACGCTGGCATCTGCCCGCAGAGGTGGGCAGGGACGTTGGTGGTGACCAGACAGGTACTTGATGCCCATCCCAGGGGACACCAAGCCTCAGGGGTACCTGGTGATCGCAGCTTAGTCTGGCTGGTGGACCGGGACAAGGGCAAGCTCTGCCGGAATCGGTTCATCCTGTTGAACCCCAAGGGCAGCTCCGCTTCTGACATGGTTTCCAAGGACTCGGCCGAGGCGAAGGAGAGTTTGGCTTGATCGGCCAAGCCGGGCTGGGAGCCCTGGGAGTGTCGGGAGCTCCTGGTCTGGAAGGGGAGAGGGAAGGAGGTGAGAGAAGAGCTGTGGCAGGTACCCCAGCCCTGCTCTGCTCCCTGGGACACAGCGATGTGCTGTTCCTGCCTTCCCTCCAGAGCTCAGTGCCGGCTCGAGCGAGGCTGAGTCACATCCAGGGATGCTCAGTCCTGGATCCTCAGCTGAGTCAGCACCTGGTGTGGTCCAGATCCAGCTCCATCTCCTGCTCTAAGCATGTACAACCATTTACAGTCTCCTCACCTCCTCCAATCACTCGCTCACGTTTTTCCAGCATTTCAAAGCTTCCCGATATCATTCCAGGTGCCTTTGAATTCCCCCACCAGCAAATCTCTTGAAATAAAACCAGTATTAGCTCGCTAGTGACAGAGCCAGAGCTCGCACGCAAGTGCTGGAATAACCTTCGCAATTACAGGAGGTTACACATCCATTACACCAATGAACCAGCTCCCGGGAAACATAAATGCCTGGCTTATTCGGGAAGAGAAGCAGCAGGAAGGTTTATGGCTGCCTGAGCCAGGGGGAAAGTAATGGCTTTGGGTTTAGAGCAGTAAAAATTTAATATGCCAGGAGTCCAATTTCCCATGGCCAAGAGTATATCCGCTGCATAAAAATTCAGGCTACAAGACATGAGTTTTCCACACAAACATCTCCAAACACATAGCCAGGTCCCCTCGCCACAGGTCCATATCCCAAAATACAAGGTTTGATTTTCCAGACACATGTTTAACGTCGGCAAATCAAAGGGAGAGAACAAACAGCTCCTGGGGTGTGGAAAAGGCGGCACACGGAAGGGACAACAGCTCTATTTTAAGACCAAAAAGATAAATCAATATGAAATGATAACAGCTGTCATCATCATTTAAATTAGACATTAATTGGAAGATTTAATTAATCCTGTGGGGTGGGGTTTTCTAGGACTTGAAATGTTCTCGCTGTAGTTAATTGCTGGAAAATTGGCTGCTTAGTTTTCTTGTTGTTGTTGTTGTTTTAACACAAAGCTCGCTGGCAGCGCAGATGCTTCAAGTCTTACGTCAAGAAAGGGAAGTGGGGCTGGACCCAGCCTGGGCCAGTGCATCCTCCAGCATTGTCCTCGGGGGGTCATGGGGGGCTTTGCAGCAGGTAAAGGAGCTGCAGCGAGCAGAGCAATGGAGAGACCCGCTCTCCTCACCCCCACGGTCATGGGGTGCAAGTTTTTCATAGAATCATCAGACGTTGTGAGCTGGAAGGACCCACAAGGAGCACAGAGTCCAACTCCTGTCCCTGCACAGGACAAGCCCAACATTCACACCATGTCCCTCAGGGCCTTGGCCAAATGCTGCTGGAATCTTGTCAGCCTTGGTGCCATCAGCACCTCCCTGGGGAGCCTGTTCCAGTGCTCCACCACCCTCTGCCTCAAGAACCTTTTCCTCATGGCCAACCTCACCCTCCCCTGCCACATCTTCCTGCCATTTCCTCTGCTCCTGGCATTCGTTGGTGGCCAGAGAGAAGAGATCAGCGCCTGCCCCTCCTCTGCCCCTTGGGAGGAAGTTCTAGACCCCCAGGAGATCTCCTCTCAGTCTCCTCTTCTCCAGGCTGAACAATCCAAGTGACTTCAGCCTCTCCTTGTACCCTTCCCCTCTAAGCCCTTCCCCAATGTTGTGTCCCTCCTCTGGACACTCTCCAGCAGCTTTAGATCCTTTTTATCCTGTGACGCCCAAAACTGCCCCCAGTAGCAGTTGGTTTTGGGGCTCCCTGCCCTTGCACAGCCCTGGGAAACCACGAGGATGTGCAGCCCTCCTGCAGAGTGGGCAGTGGTGGGAGCTGCCCTGCTCCAGGTGAGCCTGGTCCCCTCTTTTCTTCTGCTTCTGCCTCCGGGTTGCAGCTGACCTCAAGTAATTAAGCTCATCTGATGGAGCTAATTATGGCATCAGTCAAAAAAAAAAGAAAGAAAAAAAAAAGGGCAAGATGGAAATTAATGGATTTTTAGCCCGGAAGGGACCACACTGGCCTGATGCTGAGTGCAACGTGCTCACCCAGCCCGTGCTGGAACCACAGCGAGAGCCAGACACCCCCTCCCCAGGACCCCCCAGTCCGGGTGCTGGGCACCCACCCACCCTGGACCCACACAGGACACTGGCGAGCTGGCAAGGACAGACCCTGTGGAGTGAGGGGGGACCCCAAGTGCTCTGGTGGATTCTTTTCTTTTCTTTTCTTTTCTTTTCTTTTCTTTTCTTTTCTTTTCTTTTCTTTTCTTTTCTTTTCTTTTCTTTTCTTTTCTTTTCTTGGCAACCTGTTCCAGTGTTTTTCTTTTCTTTTCTTTTCTTTTCTTTTCTTTTCTTTTCTTTTCTTTTCTTTTCTTTTCTTTTCTTTTCTTTTCTTTTCTTTTCTTTTCTTTTCTTTTCTTTTCTTTTCTTTTCTTTTCTTTTCTTTTCTTTTCTTTTCTTTTCTTTTCTTTTCTTTTCTTTTCTTTTCTTTTCTTTTCTTTTCTTTTCTTTTCTTTTCTTTTCTTTTCTTTTCTTTTCTTTTCTTTTCTTTTCTTTTCTTTTCTTTTCTTTTCTTTTCTTATCCTGGCTCTCCTTTGGATGTGGGGCTGTGGGCGCTGCCCTGGTTCTGGGGACATGCAAGGCTCTGGCTACCCAGGTACCTGCTGGGGCTCGTGTTTGAGGTACATGGGCTGAGCTTTCAGTCTGATGCAGGATGGAAATAAACATCAAACCCTCCCCATCATCTCCAGCAGGG